TATTTCTGGAGGTAGACCATCTTCGCCCGGAGCTTTTTGGTTTCTGAGTCTGTTAATTGTTTTAGCTATTTCGGTTGGAGTGGGTGGATCGCAGTCAACTATGTAGGGTGTTGGTAAGTGTCGTATCGGTCGATGAGACGGTTGACCAGCGTTGCGATTGAGTAGCTGCTTGAAATCTTCGGCCCATCGTTCCATCTTACCATTGGTGTCCGAAATAATTTCTCCTGATGCTGTGCGTAACACAGCATGGCTGTTAAGGCGTTTGCCAGATGATAGGCGTATGAGGCGATAAAGTTTTCCGAAATCGCCTACATTTGATGCTCCTTCCATGTTAGTCGCCACATTAGACCAGTAGCGATTTCTGTCATTCCTAGCAGACTGTGTAGCTTTGCGCCTGAGGGAGCGATAAACTGGAGACTTTGCTAGGCGAGCGTCTCTGGCTTGCGAGGATAGATGCATAGTGTACTCTGAAATCCAGTCTTTCTGTTTGTTGGATGTGGTACCCAAATGCGACATTGAAGCTTTAGAGACTACTTCTTTGAAATGATTCCATCGTGTCTCAGGTGTATTAGAAGATGTGGATGTTGGCTCATCTGCGGCGCTTAGTTCGGCCTGGATTTGTTTGGACAAGGCTTGTCGCTTTATCGAACATTGAAGCGGGGCAACATTGATACGCTTCGGAGGTCGCGCCTTCTGGCGTGTTGTTAAACGAAGTTTGAATTTCGCCCTAACTAGAGTATGGTCTGATCCCCCTTTATTTCCGGCCTCTGCGCCACGATAGGATCGGCAGTCCTCCACCGAGGAGATCCAGCGTGAGCGCACTAGGATGTAGTCAATCTGATGTGCAGTGCGACCGTCGTTCGAATACCAGGTGAGAAGATGTTTTCTAGGGTGTTGAAATCGAGTGTTGATGATGTATAATCGATTGTAATCAGAAAAAGCTAAAAGTCTATCACCATTACGGCAGTGTTGATCGAGACCGTGTTTGCCTAGTATATGTTTTGTCGCGTCGTCTGAAGGGCCAGTGCGGGCGTTCCAATCGCCGGCTACTATGAGAACGTCACGCTTTGGGATTTTGTTGATTGCCTCTTGAAGATTGTCATAAAATTCGTCTTTGATACTTTCATCAGAGTCGAGGGTTGGGGCATAGACAGCGAGAACAGAAATGTCGAGCGGGGAACCCTTGAACCTAGCGATTGCAACTCTGGAGTTGACCGGTTCGAACGATATTAAGGCATTATTGGCTTTGTTACTGAGAGCAAATGCTACCCCATGTTGTCCGGAATTATTCTGGGGTCCACTATGAAGCAACCAGAATGAAGAATCTGTTCCAGGTACGGTTATTCGGCGGGAGCCATGATCGGGTAACCTCACTTCAGATAGACACGCTATGTCCACCTTGTAGTCGTATAAAGAACGCATGGTGATAGACTGGCTACCAGGATCCAACAGCGTCCTAACATTCCAGCAGCCAACAAATAGTTGGTTTCTAAGTGTTAATTTCCCAGCTGGCTTACTTTTCACACTGGCCACCGGGTGAGCACAGGGCGCGTCGCTTACCGGGAACGCCGTAGCATGATGAGAGTCGTTTGTAAGAGAGTTCATGAAGTTTCATGGGAATTCGGTACGAGTGAAGTCCCCAGAATCGCTCGGCCTTTTGTTCGAGAGTGCAGCTCTAGCCTTTACACAACCAAGTGTGACCTACATGGCAGTAGGAGTGGAGTAGGGAGTCCACTATCCATTGGCAACCGGTGACCGGAGTTCGGTTCATACGCCTTTTTGAATGGGGCCAGACATCCAGGACATCCAACAAGCCCTTTGTCCATACGTCTGCCGGTGAGCTCCAGTGAGCTTCATACGCCAGTCGTTGGAGGTTTGGAATCAGGGTTTAGCCATCTCCCCTAGACTGTCATCCAATGGACAGTCAACAGTGTAACAAATGCTCATTCATTACATAATGAATTATGTAGTACATTCAAGTTTGGACACAAGATCTCCGGTAACCATCATATCCCAAGGTTGTGGGTAACGTACTGATACACAATTATTTCGAAACATACTACCATTTTCGTTTTCAATTACACTTTCGGCGGCTGTAGAGTTTTCAAACTCTGCAAATATTAACTTTTCATAAATAGATAAACGTTTAATAGCTCCATATGGAGCTAACCACGCTCTCAGTGAATCAGGTTTCAAATGATGAGCATTTGTTACACCATCGATGACAACAGTGCACGAATCAGTCATGTTTCTCAACATCAAACTTGAAATGTCACTATATAACACTGTGTGATTTATCAAAATAAAATCTTATCCATATTGGAGTCACAACCCAATTTGTCGTCTACTTCCGTTAAGCCATGTTGAATGCATAAACGTGAACAGACTAGTTTGCCATCAGAGTTCCTAAACTTAAATGTTATGACATCGTGAAAACAATCAACAAACAAGTAAAGAATTCATTGGCTGCAACTTTTCCTACAGTAGAATTGATTGTTAAGTAGTACTAAACCATACGATCACTAGCCATCTCAACACAAGTGAATGAGTAACTTTTCTCACTCCAGCTCCACTACACAAAATAACAATTCACTTACAGTTGCTGACGCAGATATATTGAATTTTAATAAGAAGAAGAGTGTAACCAACGTGTTCCGAAAAGAAAATCGTTACGAGAAAGTATCACTTTGAACAGCTTTGTCGTTTCACAGCATTTGATTGCCAAAGGATATTTACTACTTTGAATTCTTCCGAAAATATAATCAAACAAGTTTAATTCTTCTTAAGTTCTCCGGTACTACGACCACAAAACACTTACAATCTGATTATAAGTGTACACAAAAAAGGAGGCCGATTAAAGCCTACACAATAAGAATAACTCAAATTTATTTCAATGAGCTTAATTATATACATATATATATATATACATACATATTTCACAAATTTTAATTGGTGTCTTTTCCTAATAACTCATGGTAGTATTATATTTCTGCTGAAACGGAGTATTTCAAACTCTGAATGTAACCACATATTTTGCTACTCCAGCTGCAAAGCAGATGCGTTGGGTGCTAATTCATTTAACAATACCAATGAATACAACAGGGACTGAACGAAAAGTTGCTGAAAACCAATAGTTAAGAGTAGCTGTCTCACAGGCGTGTGACAGAGCTGTGGAAATTAACAAGTAATGACTGTCTAACTTGGCTGGGTTTCAACGTAAAAATTTTCACTGAAATGCAGAAGTTCAGATTGCCATGCTCCATGTGATTAAGGAAGGTAGAGAAGAAATTCAAAAGAACTACGATGAGCAGGATTGTATAGGGGAAAGAAGAGTAACACGGAGAAATATGAAGACTCAGTGGATCTGGAATATGATAAAGGGTGAGTGCATCTGCGCCACTGAAAACAGTTGAGTAATATCATTAACAGTCTCTAACCGTTGGTTTTTGGCGTTTCGACAAACGCCAAACAGGCAGTCCACAACTCCCCATGTGGTTGGCTCAAGCCAACAGTCGAGGACATCACAGATTGATGACAGGTTTTGATTCGACTATTTTCAACCCAATTCTATCTCAGTAAATAATGACAATCGAGGAAGGAGATGGCTACGCAGGCGTAACACATGTCTAACCACCTCAATCGATGTAGCTTCACAACCTCATCGATCGATTGCCCCTCTTTACCTAATACACGACGCCTAAGCTCAATATTACTCAACCTGTCACACCACCTAACACACGACAAGGAACGCAGATACCTATGATCAAAGGCAACTAGGCTATTCAGTTCCTCCGCTTTTAGTGGCCATGTCTCACATGAAATGCATACAACACTAAACAGTCGATAGCACATTACGTCATTAAGATCTTGATTATGCTACCTAAAATGACTGTTGAAATACCTACTTGGTCGCTGATGCATTTAGCCACAATTACGAATTCGACAAAAAGGAATATTGAATTACTTCATTAGTCTCTACTTCTGAGAACACGCTAAAGTAATTGCGGACTTTCTCCGAAATAACCGTTCAGAGCGCCATTTTTAGCAAAGTAGCCAACCGGCAAACAGACCTAAGAAACAATTCTGCTTTCCAAAAAAAAGACTACTAGGCCAGAATTGTGCTATTTTACGCTTGAAAAAGTCAAGAAAATCAATCACAACTACGAAACCATTTTATTAACCGATATCGGTAATACTTTATTGTGCAATGAAGTTTACAAGGTGTTTTCCTAGCTAAGAAGTGAATTTCCATTAAATGTATTACCAGTTTCACTCCGACTAGCAAAGCTGAATTCTGTTTAGGAAAAGGAATAACAGCTGATTGAAGTACTACCAACTTCATTGGACTTTGGTTGGGAGTGTAGTTTGAAAAAAAGGAGAGAAAATTATACTCAAATATGTCCGACATATATACCGTCACTTAACCTCTTGTGAGAATTGTGATCAGGCTGTCTTACTAGATAAACGCAAATAACATTCCACCCACCCACCCCCATTTGTGACAGATATCATATTCAACCAATTATTTATCAGTATAAAATGAGTGTCATTAAATTCACACACAAAAAAACGCCAGTTTATTATTAGATAATGTTCTCCAAATTCAGGTGTCAGTTTGTAGGGATTTAATTGATGTCAAGTTTAACCAGGGAGTACTGGACATCTGTTTCGTCCTAGTTTGGGACAGCCCCGGCTGCATGTAACGGGGACCGAACCCAGAGCCTACAGGAGAATTGACAGAAGTTAAAATGCATAGGTTATTAAATTCCATCCCAGTTGCTAAATGGTCAGCGGGTTCGCCTCGTAATCGGAAGGTGCTAGATGCGTACTGTCGAAGGGTGTCCAGTATTCCCTGAGTTATCAGTAGTCTCCTAACTGATGTCAGCTCGTGATCAAATCTGAAACTAATCAAATCCCTGGAAACTAACACCTGAATTTGGAAACACCACCTAGTAGCAGCACAGACAATCGAAGAAAGTGAATTTATGCGCATATTAGAATTATAGAACATTGATAGATATGACTACTTGCTCGTCTATGACAACAAGAAACACAACACAAAGATAGACACTATGAAATGACAACTAATTATAATAATATTAATAATTGCAGTATAATATAACTTACTGTTGCTTTTAAACAATGATTACTTTGAACAAAACGTTTATATATCTGACCTTTTGTATTTACACGGAATTCTTTAACCGATTGACTATAAACAGGTTCACAACTAGATTTAGTAATATTAGTGGATAATTTCATTGATGGACTAGATGTACTGATGTATAATTCCACATCAACATATGTATCAATATGAGAATAATGCGATGGAAGTGGATATGCTATGCCACGGAGAACAGTTACCTCGAGGACATCATCACCCAGTTCAGCATTAATATTTGATTTTGGCAAATTAGCATATTCAAAGTAAGGTGTTAGTATACCGACTTGATGACTATGCTTATATAATAGTTTCTTTATGCATGTATTAACACTCATTAGATCAGATAGTTTTGAAATGATAGACTGATCGCCATTACGACGATGTTCAGTTATCATATGATTAACCAACTTTTCTTGTTCTGATAAAATTTCTGAATACACCTGAACTAGATGATCGCCTAATGAATTAGAAGATAAATATTATTAACAAACAAATAATAATAATAACGAAAAGCTGGAAAAATTTCACATGGTACATAAGAGGTAAACATTTCTCAAAGCAAAAGTATACAAACAACGCATACATAAGAATAAGACAGAAACTGTATTTTATTTAGTCGTATCGCTTTTGCGTACTTAGTGGAAAATAGTGAGGGGGTGAGGCTTCAGGCTTTCAAGTCCCAGTGGTAATGGTATTACTTTTTACGAGGTGAGATTGTTAGCCTGACTCCCAACCTACCCTCCTTTCCGAGCTTGTTACAAGCCAGTTGAGGTTTACGAGTGCGTCAAGCTGGAATTAAACGGCTGACTGCGTGAGCGATTGGCTGGCGTCCTACCGCTGAACCACCAGCGTATATCATATTACTGAAACGATCCGCAAAATAAAAATCCACCAATAAATTTTATAGGTTTATGACAGACATCCAAGGGTTTTAATGCTTGGTCATAGGAAGCTGGAATTACTCATCAAACATTCTCGGTTTCGCACTCTTGATAATATTATTATTCCCTTGCGTTTTGAGTGGGATTCACGAATTCAACACCCCGGCTCCATTTCTTTCTGTTCTCCGGTCTTTTTTTAGCTGGCTCAACCACTACCCATAAGCTTTCATCTCCTCCATGTCATACTCCGGTCCACAGCCAACTCGTCGTATACCATTCATATCCCACTCGACAGTTTTTCTGGAGTGTGATGTCACTCGAAGGTCTTCTCAGCATGTGACCAATCTATCTCCATTTCTTTCGACAGCTATTGACAATAAGTCACACTTGTGTTAGAACTGGTAATAGCATAAAATTGTCTAAAAACGGAAAATCACAGTCCACTATCTGGAAGACAGCAACCATAGTTATGATAAATTTGAACTGTCAATAACAGGCAGTTTAGTGATCAGTCTATTTTCTCTAAGAGTATCCAATACAAATAGGCATACAACTCCTTTCCTTCTAGCCTTCATCCCGTACACTAATTGATTCTATTTATTCGGATCGATATCGTAATCCAAACAGCTAAAACCAGCACTTTTTAGCTCCTTTAGTCAGGGAAATGTGAAGTGACTAATAATCCCCATGTAGTATGAATGCACAATTACATAATAACATATGAAGAAAGTGATCCAGGTAAGTCATGCAGTTTCAGCTCTAACGCGCAGTGTGATACTGACACCCACTAAGCCGGATGCCCACATTACATGGTCTCTAGATAGTCGGTCGGTTTTCGACATAGAACTTTGCACATATGTGCGGCAGTTCAAGTCGCCACACTCCCTCTTCGTAGCACACAAAGCAAGAGAAAAAAGTAGAAGAAATGCATAATATAGTCAGTAAACAGAGATGTGAGACAAAGGAATAGTGATAACGGAGAACAAAGCAGTTTCATTGGAAATCATAAGTCATAAGGAGTGGATGCATCTGCGCCACTGAGAACGATTTTGAGCCATGTCACCAATTGTTTCCAATCATTGGTTTTTACCGTCCCGAGGACCCCAACCAGGAAGTCTACACTTCCTTACGTGGCTTAGACTCTCTAGATAGTAAAATATGTTACACGCTTGCAGATGCAGAAGAAATTAACTAGGATCTTGGATGTGAGTTCTTTTAGGATTCTGACTAAACCTGTCTGTCGCCTGATTCGGATTAGTCTGTGAAAGATGTAAGGGGCAAGATCGGATGAAACAGGTTTTAGAATATCCATGCTAGATATCAAACAAGAGGTCAATATATTCCGAAGGCAACTAACTGTCAACTTGAAATATTAGAGACATGCGCTGAGATTTCAAATGATAGCGAACAGATAAAGACAGTGAAAGCACCGCAAAACGTAAAGGTGATGAAATTATGACGAAAAGGTATATATATGCAATTATAAACTGAAATGAAAAAGGATCAAATTGCAGAATATGCGACTGAAAAGTAATCTGTGAAAGTGTACATGCTAGTAGAATTTCCACTTGTGCGAGGGTTGAGATACACCAGACTTCCAGACCGAAGTAGGCGAATGTTTTTAAGGTACCATCCTATGAGCTTTTAACTTGAAGTCTCATTCACAAAGCAGTGTGGCGATGCAGCGTCAGGAGATACGTTCCCATGGTTTCTGATGACCGAATCAGGTTTGTACGCTATTCAATTCTTGGGTACTCTGAAGCTCAAGTACACCATGGGTTTGGAATCAAGGTGGCCCTCCATGTCTATCGGTCTAGTCATAAGCTAACTGGATTTCAACGTACACAAAATTACAGCAGTTGAAGTTGTCACACACAAAGGCAGGGAAAAAAATTCTAAGGAACTATGATGAGCGGAAATGTACGGGAAGAAAGAAAAAGTACTATGGAGAATAATGAGCATTTTATGGACCCAAAAATCTATAAAGAGCTAGTGCATCAGTGCTAATGAGGATTTTGAGCTATGTGAGCTGGTGATCAACACCAAATACTCGCATTCTTGTTTTCAGTTTTCTAAGAACACTCGTGACGCCCACCGCATCAAGGTAGTGAACAGAACTCACCCATCAGAGAGGCTAAGGATATGCGGCCACACGACAGTATTTCGAAAAGAAGACCAGAGTCTACCCAACATCAGTCATAAATTATTTTGCAATTGGGGTTCTCATATCTATTTTGAGACTCATTTCCGTACAGACAAAGAACAAGTATTACAGAATTATTTAAAATAATGACATTGTTTAGCAAATCCAAATAAGGTTTTCCTGAACACTTCACTGTGTAAGCCACAATCTTTTCTCAGACGAATTAACTCGGAGTAAATTATTTCATAATGATTCAATCAGACTCGGTGTTCACATCATTCCAGAACAATTACTCATTTCATACGGAAAAAAACATGCATAGTATGAAGAAACAGCAACCTGAATAAAAGGCCTATTCACAGAAACCTACCCGAAGATGTTTTGAGGGCGACTGCATACTTCACAGGTGGATCACAGTTTGATCCGCTTAAAATTGGCTTATATGCGGCAGATTCATTAAGTGTAGGCGGTCGTGGCAACTGGGATAAATCAACTGGGAAACCAGCCTCAGCAGCTTGTATCATTTGATTCATTCCCAGGGATGATCGTCTATACTTTTTGGCCAATTCAATATTACCTGCTTGTTTAGCAAGTTTAGCAGCTTCTTTTAATTCATCCTGACGTTTAGTTAAAAGTGTAACAACAGCCTCAGATTTACTTTTTCCTGAAACTTGTCCAGAACTAGGCTTTGGTAAAGCTGCTTTAGATTCATTACTACTAGTGGATTTTCCACCTTTAGATATTTTAGAACAATCATTTAACGGAGGATAACCTGGAGGAGGAACTAGTTCTTCAAATTCAAAGGAAGTATATCCATTTTCACAGGCGCGCAATCCTTCATATCGATTAAGAATACGATTGTAACGACGTCTTTTTGAATCTTGTGACGGATCATCGCCTATTTCTTTCATCTTTTCCTTAATGAAACTAACAGTATTAAAAAAAATAAAAACTTTGATAAATAACCACCGAAAAATTTCCTGTTGAAATAATTTCGAAATGAGATAAATGCAAACAAGTAACAAAAGTGATTTACCCACTTCTAATCTAATCACACTTCCGTATACAATCATGCATCTCTTCAAATGCCCGATAAGCAACTGTATCTTAGCTCTGTCAATGACATAAATGACAATATAACAATATAAATAGCTGCTATACACCTCACAAAACACTGTAGGATATAATACCTGAGAAGGGAAGTGGAATCTGTCAATCTTAAGTGGGGTTATGGATGAAAGTACTGAGTACACCAACAACCACTGGGAATATAAGTAATTCTGGTTATACATACTTTATAATAGGCTATACGTACCAAAATATTTTCTGAGCAGATAATAGGCGTCTTCATAATATCTGGGACTGTTTGTTTCGCTGCTGTCGGTGGCGGTGCGATGACAGCTTCACTTGAATTCTCTTCATCTTCACCAGAAAATTCGTATTCCGATGGTGGTAGAGGTAAGTCGGTTTCAGGATCGAATGTTTCTTTACCAGCTTCAATATTGACAATCGCTTCACCAATACACTTGGACGCTTCCAATAATTCCTTTGCTTTACCAAGTTCTCCGTCATCACGAGCTTTTAAAGCGGCTAACTGTATAACAAAAAATTTGAAATAAAAGTAAATTGAAACCAAGATAATGGATTAGAAACAAAATGGTTAGTAAATGTTTTGAAGGTGATAACTTGTTAAAAGAAACGCCTGATCAGCGTGAAGCTAAAGTGCATTTCCCTCTGTGAAAATTTCGCTATCCTAGTAAAATACCGTTATAGTATCATGATGTGGAATCTTCTAATATCCAATGCAAAATAATCAACAAGTTGATAGAAGCGTTCCAAATCAACAATAAATGGAACGAATGCAACGAAACAACTCCAGCTTCATGCAGTGAGCATAGAACCCAAGTAACAAAATGACAGCTAATGTCACTATTTGGCTGCCAAACTCGTGCTGACACTCTGGTGTACGGTGTATTCCGTGCTAAGTGTCAAGTACTATTGCAAGACTGACAGGAACCTGTACCTGAATGTTTGTTTGTATGTTTGGCATGGGATTAGCCCCTGTAAAATGTAAGATAATGTTGCAGGATTGGACTACACCGACTCCTAGATTAGAAACAGGAAGTGAAGTGGTAGAGCACGTTGACCGCTTCACTTACTTGGGAAGTACCATCAGCCCCAACGGGTTGATCCCCCGACGAAATCTCAGCACGAATACAGGGGCTAGTTTCGCATATGCCAGTTTACGCCGTCTCTGGCGTAGACGTGACATCTGTAGGGGACTTATGTTAGAGTTCACTAGTATTACAAAATATGAGAAATAAAATTCAAGTCAATGGAATATTAAGTAACAGCATATTACCAAAAATGCAACGACACTTTATATCAACAAAAGGGTTACTTGGAAATAAAGTTTAAGTCCTCTGCTACAAATTATTTATATAACCCACAGAGACGTTAGCTGTTTGGACGGAGTAGGTTGCAGCTGCTGTGTCCCGGTTGTAGAATTGTCTTCGGTTGAGCGTAGTGGATTTCTACAATAAATCCGAAAGATACAACACGGTGAGAGCTGAGCTAGTAAGCCAAAGAAAACCAAAGAGAAGACGAAGTCTCCAACAGAAGAGTTTACCCATAATGGAACAGCAAAGTTTATTTTCCAATCGTACACGGAAGCCAAGTGTATTTCAACAAGAAGCGTTTTAAACAAAAATTATGTACAATGTCTAATTTCTACAAATAACCAAAAAGTGTACAATCACATTGTTACGCACTCCACACATCCGACTATCGACCAAAGGGCGTGTGTACTGCTCAACAGTCCGCTTCGTCCTCCTTTATGGCTGTGAGTCCTGGCCATTGCGAGCAGAAGACATGAAAAGGCTAACTATCTTTGATCATAGGTGTCTGCGTTCTATCTCCCGCGTGAAGTGGTATAATAAGGTGAGCAATATTCAGGTTAGGCGTCGGTCGAGTGCTAGGTAAGGAGGGGAAATCAATAGACGAGGCTGTGAAATTACATCGACTGAGATGGTTGGGACATGTGTTACGTGTGCCTAGTCATCGCCTTCCTCGACGGGCAATGTTAGCTGATATAGGGTCAGGCTGGAAAAGAGCTAGCGGCGGTCAAACCAAAACATGGCACCAGTCAATGAAATCTACAACAGTTAGTCTAAGTCACGTAGGGAGATGTAGACTTCCTGGTTGGGGTCCTCGAGACGGTAAAAACCAATGATTGGAAACAATTGGTAACATGGCTCAAAATCGTTCTCAGTGGCGCAGATGCATCCACTCCTTATGACTTATGATTTCCAATGAAACTGCTTTGTTCTCCGTTATCACTATTCCTTTGTCTCACATCTCTGTTTACTGACTATATTATGCATTTCTTCTACTTTTTTCTCTTGCTTTGTGTGCTACGAAGAGGGAGTGTGGCGACTTGAACTGCCGCACATATGTGCAAAGTTCTATGTCGAAAACCGACCGACCGACCGTACCTGTACTCACTTTTGCAAATGAACCGTTTCAAGTCGAGAAGTTCGTGAACCTACGCAGTTGTGTGTGAGTGCTGGAAGACGTGTGATGGATGAAATCTCTAATCGCATAGTGAAGGCTAAGGCGGCTTACTCCAATTTGAGCCGTGTCTAGTATCATCGTGATGTCAACCTCGCTGTCGAAGGTCAGATTTACAACGCCTAAGTGCGCGTCATCTTGCACAACGCCTGTGAAACCTGGTTTGTCCTAGTTGAGGATGTGCGGTGACTGCATATTCAATCATCATTGTCTCCGTATAAGTGCCTGCGTCTAATGGCATAATCATGTTTGTACTGAGGTCCGACAGCGTGTCTTTGAACACAGTGGAGATCAACTTTAACTGAGTGTAGTCATCTGGAAACACCGGCTTGGTGGCATGGACATGTACAACGAATGTCATCCCAGAGGCTTTCGTACAAGTCACTGTTCGCTGGCTTTGGATGGAAAAAGCGGAGAGGTGGTCAGCCTATGACATGGTGTCATGGGATGAAGGATACTTGTTTTAGGTTAGCCTCGACTGATACATCACGAATCCCTCGTTGGCATCTGACAGACATATCAAATCGGTAGCTCAAAACATCAGATTTGGCCAAGAACTGCAGTCAATGGCGAACATGCTGCAATTTGCTTCTCTCATCTCTTTCCGAAAGTAACACGTTGAGTGGTGAATGTTGAATGAACGATCTTGACAAATATGCTTACCTGCTTTCTATCCCTATTCTCTTTATGTATATTGTTGTTTTATTATTGCTGTATGGCGCATCCCAGGCTGTGAGCTACACGTGTTGTGTGAAGACTGATGATTTCACTTGTTTGCCTACACTGAATTAAGTGGATTGAGATTCAAACCCAGAAGTAATCATTAGCTAGAAGTAAAGTGTCAAAGCCAGCAGTCATATATCTGCTTACACCAGTGAGTCCAGACACTTTATTTCAATTGTCAATTTCACTTAATTTTTGCTAGTAACCATGTAATACTGGAATCTGTGCAAAAGATGATGCATAATCTGACTACTCAGCAAAAAGATTTAAAAAATCTATCCAAAATACACAAAATAAACTCCAAATTTCCTGAAACTAATTCATCTCTGTCTGTTGCACTTCGTAAACAAGAGGTGAAGGACACATGACGGATTACTTTTCACCGTTTAAATCTGTACCAACAAGTCTCAAGCCCCTGGTTCTTGGTGTGGAACCAGGAAGACCAACTAAGCAGTTTACAACTCCTCACTTGACTAGCTCAAGCCAACAGACAAAAGCTGAACGGATTATTGACTATAGGTTTTGATTTGGCCCTTTTTCAAAGTAATCCTATGTTAGCTAATATTGCTTGATGAGGAAATGAATGGCTCGATGATATCCGCAACACGTGTAATAGCCGCCCTCAATCGATTCAACTTCACAACCTTATCGGCAGACACTCCCTAACACACGGCTCCTAACCTCAAAATTTCTGATCACATCATACCACTACTTAACACCGGGGAAAGAACACGAACATGTCTGTTCAGAGATAGCTAGCCCCTTCGGGTCCTTCAGTTTCAATGACAATACCTCACAATCATAAAGAATGACAGAACTAAGTGCTGTGCAGTATATACGTCCCTCGTTCGATAGCCGGATATCACATCTACGCCAAAGATGACGTATATACAGCATATGCATCATGAAATAGTTGTTTCACAAGTTACGTCAAATGAAATAAAGCAACTGTGATCATGCATACAGCTAATGCAAAACAAAACACCACTTACTTTGTATTCTTTATGACGATTCTTCAACAGATCTAAACCGGGAGGAGTAGTTTTAGGATTGATATAATCAAGTACAGCTTGACGAACATCTAATGGCTGCTTATCAGCCTTTACAGCGGTATCATTCGGAACACCTTTTAGATTATTACCACTTGAAGGTGGACTTATTGGTGACTAATAAACATTTTTTAAAGAAAAGAATACCAAAAATAAAATATTGCCATTTATTTATTTACTATTAGTGAAAATCATTCCGTCAAGTAAAACTTCTGGTCAAAATATCTAGTAAAAGAACTGCGAAATACATTCTAATTTTTAGTTTCTTCCTCTCTTCTAATTGACAGACAAACAACGAAGTGAAGTTAGGTACAAGGTAGCCTGTGAAGAAGACCATTCCATTCTGTGCAAGTGGGGCCTGTGCTTGCACCAGCTGAAGTATAACCACGACAATATATATTGTGAGCCGTAGGTAACCACTGCTTACGTAAATGAAAGAATATTTATGTACACTGATGTTGTATTCAGAAGATAACAGTGACTAGATGAAGACATAGCGTGGCGTATGCTACCGATAAGATTGATCAGGTATATATATACATACGCACGTCTCCACTGCTTTCGGTTCTCTGCCAGCGTTTTCATCTGGCTCCACCTCTGCCCACATGCTTTCATCTCCTCTTCACATCACCGGCTCCCCCATGTCACCCCCAAACTGACGACCAACTCGCCACTTCTCGTTCAGGTTCCACTCGAGAGAGAGCCTGGCGTGTGATGTCACTTGTTGGTTTTCTCAGAGTATGGCCAGTCCACCTCCATTTCTTCCTCCTTATTTGTTGTACAATCAGTTCCTGGTTGGTTCGCTCCCTGAGATCCCTGTGGCTGATCCTTTCTGGCTCGCCATCTTATCTTGAGCATTGAGCGAAGACAGCTGTTGATGAAGGTCTGTAGTTTCTTTGTGGTGCTCTTCATGACGCTCCAAGTCTCTGATCCGTATGGTAAGTAGTTTTTTTTTTCCTTCACGTTCCTCAGTGGAACATAGGGCTCCAAGCTTGTGGCTTGAAGTTTCTGTAGCAGTGTTAATTTTACAGGATGAGGTTGCTAGCCTCATGCCCAACCTTTTCCTCTTCACCAGAATTATTCCTGGCCTAGCGAGGTAAAGGAGTGCGTCGGCCGGGGGTCGAACCTCGGACCACGTGCATGGTCGGCGAGCGTCCTAACCGCTATACCACCGACGCACATGGTAAGTAGTACTGACTTCATATTGGAGTTGAAAATTCGGATCTTATTTTTCATGCTGAGTGCTGCTGGCCTCCACACAGACTTGAGAGAAATGAGAGCTTGTCTTGCTTTCCCAATCCTCGCTTTGATATCCTTGTCAGTTCCGTCAGCCTGTAGTTGAAACGAGGCTTCATAGGAAGGTATGTAGGCAAGGGAGGTCGCTTCTTACTGATTTCTCCCATTATCCTGGCTGACTGTTGTCTGTTGTTGTTGCTGTTACTGTTGGCCAGGAATCTTCACCACTTCTGTTTTCTCTACGTTCACCTGAAGTCCTATCTTCTCTGGATGCTTCTTCTTCCAACTTGTCTCTGTTCACTTGCATATCTTTTAATTTGTGGGAAATCAGACATATATCATCGGCGAAGTCCATATCCTCCAAGTTTTTTCGTACGGGTCCATTTTATGCCTGTCTCCTCACTGCTCGCTGTGTTTCTGTAGCATTATCCAGTCTATCGCAATCAGGAAAATCATTGCAGATAGCAGGCAGCCGGCTTGTCTTACTCCTGTCTTCACTTCGAAGGATTCCGTGAGTTTCCCGTTGTGAATTACTTGGCATGAAGCATTGTCGCACGCCTGCTGGATGAGATGTATGGTTGTTGGCAGGATGCCGTACTAGCGAAGCAGTTGCCCAATCACCTCTCGATTGACCCCGTGCTATCGAAGACCTTTCTAAATTCAATGAAGTTGAAATAGGGAGCTGACTGCCATACCAAGCTCTGTTCAATGGTGATCCGTAGTGTTGCGATTTGATCGATGCATGATTTATTTCTCCTGAATCCAGCCTGTTTCGGTCAAAGTTTAACATGCAGGGCGTGTTTAATTCTCTCAAGGATGATACGATTTAGTATTTTGCTTGGGGTGGACAGGAGGATGACACCATGCCAGTTCTTACAGTGACTTAAGTCCTCTTTCTTTGGCAGTTTGAATAAATAGTCTTTCTTCCAGTCTACAGGTATGTTGCCCTCTTTCCACACCTTCTCCAGTGGTGATGTCGTCAAGTCCGCCGATGTTTATGGGTCCACTTTCAAGGCCTCTGCCGGGATTCAGTCTGATCCTGCTGCCTTTCCAGCTTTTAGCATCTTGATTGTCTTCAGGACTTCTGATTTCGTCGGGGGGTTGGTGTTCACTGGTAGCTCTGTCTCCGTTGTTGTTATTGTTGGGCGCGTTGTAGGAGGTGGTCGATTTAGGAGTCTTTTGAAGTGTTCAGCCCAGTGTTTGCTTTGCTCCACTTCTTTGGTGAGTGACTTTCCATTGTCATCTTTCACTGGCTTGATTTGTGTCAAACTTTCGCCCGATAGGTACCTAGTTGTTTGGTAGAGTGTTGCGAGGTCTCCTTTGCCTGCAGCTTGTTCTGCCTCACTTGTCATGGCTTCATAATACTTTCTTTTGTCTTCCCTGGCACTCTTCTTTACTCTTTTGTTCAGTGTCTTGTAGCTTGCGTTCAAATCCTGTTTTTGTTGCTCGTCGGTGCACTGGAGAATCTTTTGTTTCACCATCCCTCTCTCTTCTATCAGTCTCCAAGTGTCCGTAGTGAGCCATTGTTTGTCCTGTCTCTTCTTTCTGCCTAGAACGTCCATGCATGTTTGACTCCACACTGTTTTCAAGTTGTTCCAGTGCTTTTCGACGCTGACCTCTTCGCTAGTGTTGATTTGTGTCCCGGCTTTGTCCTTTATGCTTGCAGTGAAGATGTCCTTTGTGTCCTGGTCCTTCAGTTTTTGAGTGTTGAACTTGGCTTGTGGTCTATCTGCAGCTCCTGTTTCTCCGAAAGCTTTTAATTTGATTTGGATTGTCCCTTGTACGAGGTAGTGATCTGAGCCAACGTCTGCTCCTTTTCCTACTTTTGTGTCTAGTAAGCTGCATCTCCACTTCCTGGAGCACCATTGAGATGAAGTCAATTTGGTTTTTGTTTCGCCCGTCTGGTGACACTTATGTAGCCTTGTGGATATCCTTGTGCTTGTTAACGCTGCCGCCAATCACTAGTTCACTGAAGGCGCAGAAGTCGGCGAAGAGTTCTCCGTTTTCATTCATTTCTCCGAGAGATTCTCTACCCATGATCAATTTTCTTCCTGTGTTGTCTGGTCCCAGTTTGGCGTTCATGTCTCCCATTGGTATTTTAATGTCACCGACTGGAATAGTGTCCATTGTTGCGTGTACTTGTCTGTAGAGTTCTTCTTTGTTTTCGAGGTCTGCGTTGTTTGTGGATGCATAGTATCGTATAACTGATACTTTCCTTCCTTTGGAGTTGAATCTGGCGGTCATTATCCTGGGCGAAATCGTCCCCCATTACATCAGGGCTTTCGTTGCAGTTGGTGACATCATGACAGCCACACCCTGGGTGTGCATGTGGTTGTCTTCTGGGTGACCAGAGTAGATCACTGACTCTCCTGTTGACAATTTTGTGAGTCCACTTCCATTCTATCTGCTTTCGCATATTACCAGTACTTGAATACGATATCTTTCATGTCATTTGCAATCTGGACAGCTTTGCCGGTCTCATACATACATCCCCATACAGACTTTTTCTTCAGCCGCAAGGAGACTCATTTGTACTGATGTTTCTGTAGCAACTTTGTTTACAGAGTGAGGTTGTTGGCCTTACGCCCAGGAAGGGGTTTTTACAGAGGACGGACGGCCGCAACGTCAACCTTTTCTAACCGAGTCCATTTCTCCATAGCAAGGAGAAATAGCATGACTGTCGTGCTGGTTATCCAAGGGAAACACCTCACTGATGTTACATCCCTGTGTATCTTTGTTCACAAACTCCCAGCATAGTGTAAACAACTTACACTGTGAGTGTAGGTGATTTTGGCCTTACCCCAACCCCACTATCCAAACAGCCTTCTGATATGATAGAACTTGCTGAAACACTTAATTCCAGCCAGTTTAGTTCATTGTGTCATTGAAATAATGCCAACGCGCGACCATCACGTCAAGTTATTATTTAATGTACAGAACTGTGAGACTTTATCACATAAATTTACTCTGTGGTGGAATTATAACGTATATTTCCGTATTCTGAATCCCTTACCATATTGGAACCAGAAACATTCGCAGTAAATTCCGTTTTTTGACGACGTGAATCAAAAGTGTTTTCTTTTACTGTTTTCTTATCATCATCATCATCATCGAAAAACTCCTTCTCGTTAATGTCCAACATGTCTAATTCATCAGAACCACCACTACCACCAGACAACGGTTGATTACCATTATCCATTGATTTAACAAGTTGAGCAAGTATAAGCTCATCTTCATCATAATATGTTTTACCCCATAAGAATGAAAATAAGTAAATAGCCTTTGTTTAATGAAGAAAAAACAACGCAACGGTGAATTTAGCTTTGACATTTTAAAAACCCTTCTTTTCTAGCATACTATCCTCAAATACTTGGAGATAAAAACACCCACTACAACTACTCAGAGTTAAAACAAACAAAATTCTTAAACTGACTTAGGAACTTGACTGACTACACGCAGGACACACTAGTTACTTACTAACTAACCCAGTGTGTCCAATCAATCAAAGTACAAAGAACTTTTAAACTAGAGTAATTTTCATACACGGATAAAATCTGGGCACTGTGATAGAGAGTATACTTCCACTGTTGGATAAAATTTTTATTTCGATAAAGTCACAAAGTGTTACTGTGTGTGCATATGTGTGTGTTTCTATATAACACTGTGTGACCTTATCAACAACAAAAATTTTATCCATAAGGGAGTAATTTTCCTCAAATAGTTTACAAACAGTGTTACCTTTTCTAGCCATTGTAATAATAGCTATTGATGAAGTTAGAGGTTTGCATTCACCTATATTCCACTTAAATTTATTAACGTTTAAGCTCAATAACCTGGAACAGATTTTCTTTGTGCTAGGCTACAAGCCACACACTTGTCGGGAGTGACGGTTAGAGATACTACCCAATTACCCAAGCTGAAATAGGGATCAGGGCTAGAATCCGTGACCCTTCTACTGAAAACCGAGTGCTTAACCAATGAGCCTCATCTCCACCTATTTATACTCAATAACAAGTGTGAGAAAATAATTTCTAAATTAGTGATACACTGATATTACATGTTGAGATTTTTCAATCTTTTTCCTTAATGACAATTGCCGGATGAACGAACTTACGCAGCCTATCCAATTGATTCTTCATGACAAAAGTCGGGTTTAGGAAAAGCATTTGATACTATTCTTAACCAACTAGCTGGAACTTCTGAGTTAATGATGGTACTTCACTGAAAAGCCCCATATAAAAACTTTCACCTCAGATACTTAAGAACTATTCACAAATAAACACATTGAATGAGATGTGTACATATGCGGCTGATTGGCCATAAACAGGATGAAATGTGAATCCTCAGTTCCCCCGTACAACATCACAAAACAGTGAATAACTCAGATTCGACTTAATTTGCTTTACTCAAATCCATCGACAAGCCCTACTTACCTGAGTAGAAGACAACGTTGTATTCGGAACCGTATGTGGCGGATTTTCTTTCAGCAAATCTAATAATTCTTGTTCAAGATCGTCATTGCTGATGTCATCTTGGTTGATATTGTCATGTGTGTTATCCATTTTAGGAGAAAGCCACTGCATTGTGAAATACAAGCCCAAACAATTCTATCACAGTTGAAACCTGTAGCTTTGAGAAGTTTGCACGAGTGTTTATTTTGCCTTAAAAACACTCATCGGGTGACGGGGCTGGGGTTGGTTTTGAATAATGAGTGGAGTAGTAAACAATCGATTAACGTAGTATCTACGAAAACAATAAACCGTGAAAAATCGCACAATGAATGTTCTGAACTAAATAATTACTACGTGTTTTATAAGCGTTTTTTAGCTTGATCACCTCTAGAATAAATTTTGTCAGATATTCTCTTGTTTATGCTTTAATCATAACGTTATTGTGCGAGTATATATTAATAAAAGATAAGGATAATGATCCTCATACCTCCGCCAAGCATTAAGATGTATGCTAATCGGGACAATTAAACTCCATGTATCAAAGTAACCTGCTCGTTTACACTAAATGTTTAGACCTAATCGATTGATGGAGAAATGAATACAACAATTGTGACCGGTGAGAGTTTAACCAGCAGCACTCATCATTCTTAACATATCTAATTTCCACCACTGCTTGCCGAAGCATTCATAGCCCTTCAGCTTCATTGTTTAGTTAAATGGTTAAAACTAGGTTACCCAAAAGACATTTTCGCTGGACTCCAAGCTATTAGCCATGCACAGTGAGGTATGATAGTAGCACCCAGTAGGTGAAGTGAGACTCAAACTCAGTATCCACTCACTGAAAACCATTTTCCTAAACTATTAGTACCACAAAACACTGAGTGTTTGGGGCAGAAAAATCCCTTCTTGACTGGATCCCAGTAGATAGTCGTATGTGTGCGGCCCGTTAGAAGAAGGAAGGACAGCGTTACCCATCGTTGTCTTTTCATAGTCCCCGCATACGCCCCAAAAGACTGAAGTTCGGATGAACTAAGGGTTGATTTCTACCTGAAACTTTCTAGTTTCCTGCAAACAGCAAAACGTTCAGATATAGTTGTTTTAGCAGGCGACTTCAATGCCCAAGTAGGGAAGTTGTGCCAGACTGAGGATACATAATAATATATATTTCCTATCAATGTAGGACACACCAGTTGTACAGGCATGGATAAGTATTATTTAAATTACATGAATTTGATTTATAGTGACATTACATGGTTGCTGTCCTCTCTAACATCAGTTAGTGAGTACATTCTGATAGTTAGTCGTTCAATGGAGCACATAAAGAAATATAGAAATATTATCTTCGCATTAACAAAAAAAACCCAAGTACGTGTCGGATAAATTACAAATATTTGGGAAAAAAATAAAGCTTGAAGTCAATTCCTCCATGTAACTTTGTTGTGTGCGGCATCGTATCTTGTTTTATGTTCAAATTGTGTGTTAATTTAAAATGAGTGAATTATTTGTATGATTTTGACATCATTATTTTGCAAGTAATACCAGATGTGAATTCAACTGAATGCAGATTAGTATTGGTCATTGTCAAGCAGATTTATTTTACTACACTCAAGTCACCCATAGCCCGCCATTTGTCACAGCATGGTTGCTCCGTACGAGTAAGTTGATAAACACGTAGAAAGCTATATAAAAACCATTTTAGATCGTTGACAGTGCTTGTATAAGATGCTGTACAGCGTCTTGTTATGGTGACAGTGGATTTCATCAAGGATGCTGAGCCATTACTAGCCAAACCTTGAGGGATGATATATGAGTAGGTGACTTCAATTGTTTCTCAGCTTCAGTCGGAATGTAGATCAATGCAACTTGTACTGCGAAGTAAATACAACAGAAATGTACCAGAAGACAAATAAAAAGTATGTGATGACAAAAATATTTGTTTATATTCGTTGTACATTGTAATTTGATGAACAAAAATTTGTTTCTACTATGTCTTTTTATGCATTTATGCTACTAGTTTATTTATAGTCTTTAGGGAAGTAAGGGTATTTAAGCGCGTTTAGGTACTGTAGTAGACTAAAAGTTGATTCGTTCTAGGAATAAATAGTTTATTTATATAGTCGGTAGAGTGAAATAGTGTGTACAGACAGCGTTTGAAACTTAAAACTGTATTGCAGTTCCTGATATCTAGGGGCAGACTGTTCCATATTTTAGAATACATGACTGTGAAGAAGTTTTCGCGGAGTGTTGACTTAAAGGCTTTTATTATCACTGTGCAATTTTGGTTACGCAGATCGTAAGAGCCTTCTTGCGCGAATTGTATGTCCTTAATGTCTGAGAATGATATTTTGTGTAGGACCTTATAGAAGAATACTAGGTTTATAATTAGTCGTCTTGTCCAGAGTGGGTCAAGTTGTAGAATCATGCACCGTGAAATGTAGTCTTTCTTACATTCGTAGCCTAGTAGTTTCGAGGTAAAATATCGTTGGATACTTTCAATTCTTAGCTTTTCACGTGTGTGAGTGCTGCTGATAATAAATGGACAGTATTCTAGTAGTGGCCTCACACAGGTTTTGTACAGAATGAGCTTTGCTTCATTGTCGTGAAAGTTCCTGAGTATGCATCCTAGGAGCATCCTCGACTTTTGAGTCTGTGATGCCACTTGCTCAGAGAATGTTAGGTTACTCGAGTACCTCAGACCTAGGTCAACGACACTTTGGAGTTTGGTTAGGTTAGCCGATTGAAGCGTTAACTTTATGTCGATTGAGGGTGCACCGAAGCAGATCCAGCCAAATTTTTTAAGGTTAAATTGGAGGTTCCATAAAGATGACCAAGCAGTCACTTTATCTAGTTCTTTTTGTACAACATTATGGAAGTACCCTAGGTCATCAGATTGGAATGTATAAGCTACTTTGAGGTCATCTACAAAGATGAATGGTTTCCCATGAGAAAAGCAAGCGCATATGTCGTTAATATATAGGGTAAATAGAAGGGGTCCAATGACACTACCTTGTACTACACCAGAGGTGATTGGGCTAGGTTTCGAAGTTATAGATCCGAGTTTAACCATTTGGGACCTATTGTTAAGGAATGATTTAAGCCATCCTAATAGCGGGTCACTTATTCCTAAGGATTTCAGCTTGTGCACTAGTAGTAAATGGTCGACACGGTCAAATGCCTTTGAGATGTCAAAGTAGATGACAAGTACTAGTTGTCGTCTGTCACGACTGCTGGTCACACAGTTAAAGAAGTCCAAGTGGCATGTTAAACAAGATCTGGATTTTAGGAATCCATGTTGGTTCGGACTTATAATATTGCAGCTAAGCATATGCTTCATTAGGTTTTCTTTAACTAGTCTCTCCATAATTCTAGAAGCTATAGGTGTGATATTAATTGGCCTGTAGTTACTGACGTCTGTTTTCGAGCCAGATTTGTGTTTAGGCATAATAAACGTTGTTTTCCATACATCAGGGTAAGTTTGAGTTTCTAAGGACATTGTGAATATTTTAAGCAGGAGTAAGGGAATGTCAGGGCCACCATATTTATAAAAATAGGATGATATGCCGTCAGTACCGAAACCTTTTGAGCATTTTAGGGTTCTTATAGTTTGTTTAATGTTAGTATAGTTAAATTCAATAGTACTAATTAAGTTTGGTGTGTGTGGAGATGGAGTTTGTGCCACATGAGTAGCAGGGTGTATATTGAGTAACTGGACTGTGGGCTTAAGGTAGTTACCTGCAAAAGTTGAGTTGAATAATTCACACATGTCTGCGGAATTAGTACATAGCCTACCTTTGTCTATGAGGAGGGAAATGCTGTGATTTTTGCGATTCATTCGCTTCTTTAAGATTTCCGTGAGTGCATACACTTTAGCAGGACTGGCTACTGCGATGCGTTCTTCGTCTCTCATACGGAAATTTCGAGCTTGTGAGATGGAACTAAGGGTGTTAAGTATTGAACCTAGTGTGCCAAAGTCGTGGTGTTTGAAGTAACTTGTTGAGAGTTTCTTCAGTTTCATACGATCCTTTGGTTTTATGAATGACTTCCTATGTGGGGACAGCTCAAGTGTTTGCAGTGGAATGACAGCATCTAAGCATGTGTTCGAGTTATGGTAGAAGATGCTCAGAGCTCTCGAGAGGTCATCAGTATTGAAGTATTCGCTCCATTCGGAGGATCTTAGCACTGATTCTACTAAGGTCCAGTTTGCCTTACTATAGTTCCTATATAGTACTTTTTGTGAAGTGGAGGTATGAGCTGCATTGCTATTCAGTGGAAGTGGCAGAGCACACATTACTGTTTTGTGGTCACTACCTGAAAACTTAGAACCCACTAAGATTGAGAGGGGGGAGTAAATGGATGGTACGTACGGAGTTCCCTGACGACGAAAAGACAACGGTGATCGTCTTCTAAACTTCTTTTCAGATAATCATCTGTTCCGAGTGAGCACTAAAGGCGCAAAGAGAGACATTGTGTAACCTGGCGACCTGCAACACCAAATCAACGCTGAAGTCAAATAGACCACGTAGCGATAGGCTATCGTTGGCGAAGGTTAATAGAAGACTGCCGCTCCTTCTGGAACACGTGCGTAGACACCGATCACACCCTGGTTTGCGCACGTTTATGCTTACAATTGAATGGTCATAAGGAGCTGTTGGCAGCGAAGCAGTTACGTTACCAACTAAATCAAGACACTGAGTCCCTATTTAAGGAAGAAATAGTGAAACGAGTGTCTGAGATCAACAGCAAGAACTCCCCCCCTGAGGATGCCTTGCACAATACACAGTTAGCTGTAGACACAGATGTAAATGCTGTTAATAACTTAAAACCAAAAGTTACTAAGAGCCAATGGATTTCTACTACCTCATCCGAACTAATTGAGGCAAGAAAACTGATTCTGACTGGTTTCAAATACGATGAGGAGCGAAAGCTGCTCAAATGAAAACGAACAAGAAGTCTTCGCAACGACCGTGAAAAGTGGTGAACGAAAAAAGCATCGGTGACAAGTAACACCAGATAACTAACTATTTGGACTGATCAGGGAAACAGGTGGTAAGAGGCAAATGATAAGTGAAACAATCTCTGAGTAAAATGGCATCATAATTAGCTCTCAGGATAGACGACTAGAACGCAGGAAA